GACCGTGTTGCCCACAAAGTTCTGTAGAGTCTGTGATGGTTGCTAGGTGGCGAAAAGCATAACCAGACAATACATCTTCACATATATGTCCATTCACGTAAAAACAAAGGCTTTATTTGACACAACCCATCGGCCCCACGGCCTTTTGGGAGTGCACAACTTCATCAGCAATGATTCAGTACAAGCAAACTCTGTACTGTTGTCCACACAGTATCTCACCAGCAGAGTTAGGTTTTTTCGAATCAATGCTGGTGAACTACCAGATGGTACAGGCAGCAGTGACCCTATCTTTTAAGATATGGGTCCTAGTTAGACGCAACATTGTACAATACATAACTCAATCATGCGGGTCGTTGTGAAGATTCTATCTATTATAAAAGCCCGGCGTTCCGGTTTTCCATTTGTCCGTCAACTAAATTATAAGAGATTTTCAGAAGGCCTGCATCAAAAACTGTCCCCTCCCCAAAAAGGTTGAACCAACAGGTGGATAGATCCAACAGGTTTCCACAATTTGTCGACCCCCGTCCCCCCCAAAAATTTCTTTCGTCGGAATAAATGTCTACACATCCTATATGCAATAGAGTCAGTAGTAGTATCTGGAGATGTTGGGGGGGGGGTGGGGGGACATCAGTTGGGGCGACGGGCGAGGCGCAAAGCGCTTCGAATCCCTCCGCAGGAGCATGCCATACGTCTCCTTCACATGTGTCTCTCCACGTACAAGCAATAAAACGTTCATCTTCTTGGTTCTTTCGGTAAAGTCACGTAGAAGGGAAGTAATAAAATAATAAACATAAAACATAATCAAATAATTCTCACGACGTTTCGGCCACAACGCAAGCAGCCGTCCTCAGGTGTAGACCAGGTCTATCGGGGAGACATCAATCTATCTGACGCTGTCTCCCCGACAGACCTGGTCTTCACCTGATGACGGCTGCTTGCGTTGTGGCCGAAACGTCGTGAGAATTATTTTATTATGTTTTATTTGTATTATTATTATTTTATTACTTCCCTTCTACGTGACTTTACCGAAAGAACCAAGAAGATGAATCCCTGCAGTCACGAAAGAAGCTTTAAATCGAAAAATAAAACGTTGTTTGTGACACAACCCATCGGCCCCGCGGCCTTGTGGAAGTGCATCGATTCAGCAGCAGAAGAAAAACACGCACCTTGGACGAGTTCCGACGTCGGCCGAGTCCACGCTGGTGAATGTGACGCATCTCAACGCGGAGTGCCCAAAACACGAAGAGCAGCAACAGGAGCGGGGTCGTAGCTACGGGGCCGGTGGACAACTCGGACAACCAGGCACTGGACCCATAGCACCCACGGCAAGGAAATAACAAAACAAAAAAAACCTCATCGTTACAATTTGTTAATCTCAAGACTTATTTTTGGAGGGTCTCGTAAGTATTTCGCAGTCAGGTGCTAAATGTTGCTATACGTGTAATTCCCATTGAGTCATCTGTATTGCGTGGTTTTGTATTTTTTAAGCTCGAGGAAGAAGCCGGGAAAACTGGATGAAACTCATCCAGCAGTTGATCACTCATGGCTGATGCTGCTGTTGCTGATGGAGGATAAAACGGAACTGCCCTTCCCCTGGAGCAGATTGCCAGCGGTGAGGCGCCGCTGTTGGGCACGTGGTCCCGAGTGTCAACATAAAAGCCGAAACTTGGGGGGTGTAAAACTAAAATGTTACTTTCGTTCTTTAACGACTGCGGGCTCTGTCTCACCCAGTTTGTTTTATGATCGCTCGTGGGGTGGACAGACCCTGGGGCCCGCATCCCTCTCGTGCAGGGAGGGGGCCCGCCAAGGCGGCGCCGCTGCGTGGGGGCCGAGCGAAGCTCCCGAATCAGCTGCAGCGACAGCTCCCGACTGAGCACCATGCAGGGTGAAGCGGACGCGTCCTGACATCTATCCGGGGGTCCCTTTAACTAACTAACTAACAAAAAAACTACCGAAACTTTATTTTAGCAGATAAGGCCCACTGAGCTGTATAACAGCTTATTTCAGAATGAAAGCTTTATACTGGAAGAATCTGATGAGCTATAAAGCTATTTTTCGCAGATGTCTCTTTCACATATATTTGGGCGTGGATCATTCACTCAGGAGCACCTATAGTAGGTAGATTATTTACTGTATTTTAGCTAAAACTAGGGCAACGTGCATGTAACTTTACCAGGTAAGGCCCACTGAGCTATTTATCTCTTTTTCAGAAGCGACCTGGTCACAAATGATAGCTCAACGAAGTGGCTTATCACGTGGAAATGTATAGCAGCCAAACACTCTTAAAGCATTATGAGATCTCTTTTACCAGTGGCAAAATATAGCACGATGATTATGGGTGATGTCAGTTTTGTACCAGTTTAAAAGGGTAAAAACCTACTACTATACTCTTAAAGCATACTTGGGTCATCGAGCATTTGCTTGGTTTTCATCTGCAGCTGGCTGCGAGGCGGAACGACGGTTCAAGCCGTCAGACAATTCTGAAACGCCGGCCAATGAATGGGACCCGATGCACGCACACGGCGGTGTACTGTGGCCTTGTTCTCTTCCACGTGATGAGCGCCCCCATCGCGCCAGATCGACAACTCCACTGGCAGACGGAGCGAGCGGTGGGACAAACGTCACCGCACACGACGACATTCTACCGCGGTGTTCTTCACTAAGTTTCAGAGGGGGCGGCGGGGGGCATTTTCGCCGATAAGACATCGTTGTGTGGGCCCCCACACATTTGAAATCGTTGGGGTTTGACAGCACGATGATTATGGGTGATATCACGCGTTTGTGTATTGTCGAGGGCCGTACGTCAGGGGCTGCGCTAAAGGCCACCAGGAGCAACCAGGGGCCACCAGGGGCCACCAGGGCCCACCAGGGCCCACCAGGGGCCTTGCAATGAACAACGCTGGCCGTCTGCAACCTCACTGGCACCACCGCCTGCTCGCCTCGAGACTCTACCCGCTCGCTCTGTCTATCACCGATGTCGGCAGTCTCTTGCTCCGTAGTGGAGGAGGCGCTCCCAACCTGGAGCGGGTAATCTCCACGTTACGAAGAGTGTATTGATAGCGTTATAGCCACTGATATTAAGTGGGGGGGGGGGGGGGGGTGAGTTATTAGGATAGAAAATGGTCAGGTAGATGAAGCAGATGATTGTGAGTGGCAGCCGCATCGCAAATATAGCAGCGCGTGCAGAACGAAGCAAGGTGGTTAATTTCGTGTAATTGTCGAATTGATAGCGAGACGGGGTCAATAGGAATTGCGTGGAGGTATGCTGCTCGCGAAAGAAGCGATGTCGGGTGGGGACGAACAATCGGGGCAGGTAATATAATTAAGAGGAGATAACAAGGTTGGAGAGAGAGAGGGAGAGAGAGAGATAGAGATCTCTGCGTCGTTTGGAACGGCGAGATATTTGGGAGGCATGGGTGGAAAAACAACTGACTTTTCCAGCGGAGGTATCGGGTTTTTTCTTTAATACAATTAAACCCGATTTCGGGGAACTAAAACCTGGTTTCATGAATACTAAACTCTGATCCAAGGCTTAGGCTGCTTCCTCGTCGGTGCTGCTGTCGTACTCGGGGGGGCCGTCGGGCACGGGGTAGTCGTAGAATGCGGCGGGCAGGTTGGTCTTGATGAACACGAGGAGCTTCTCCTCCACAATCGTGGGCGCCAGTGAGTTCCTTCGCTTGGAATGGATGAAGCTCATCGTTGACACGTGCGGTTCTGCAATTAGAACCAATTAAACCGGATTTCTCCCAATCTCAGATGATCGGGTTTAATATAAAAAGACAATTAAACCCGATTGTAAAAAAAACCCGACTGTGCCACCCTTGTTGGGAGGGCACCTCGCCTGCTGTTGGCGAGCGCCGTTCCCTGGCCACGTGTCGCGTTTCCCTCGCGCCAAGCAGCAGGAATGCGTTTTGAGAACACGCGATGGAGATGCACTTCGGCTGACGAGTGCTCACTACGGCTTGACGGCATTTCGCAAGTGTATGATAGCTTGACCGCAGCGGGAGTGATGACGGTGGTGGGGATGACGACGATGATGATGACTCACGTCTCAGCTGCTGTATTCATCGTTAAGAATGGCATCATTGTAATCCCATCCACGCACGGACAACGTGGCGGCGAGGAAGCTCGGGCGCCGATATTAAAGCGATAAGTCACAAGCCCGGGCAGTCTTGGTCGTTCATCATCAGCCATGCTCAATCCACTGCTCGATGAAGGCTTCCCCACGGTTCTGCGATGTAACGTTATCTCCCCCATCTCACGTGCTACATTCCTAACACGCGTGTACTGCTCTAGAGTGGAAGGCAGCGGCTGCTATAAACTTCCACTTTGTCGAGCTTTCATTTGTGGCCAGGTCGCTTCTGAAAAAGAGCCGTGGAGCTCAGTGGGCCTTGCCTGGTAAAGTCAAAAATGTGTTCGCTCAAATACAGTAGTAGCATCGCCTACCGACAAGAGGTACTCCCGAGGAGTGAATGATCCGCGCGAAAATAAATGTGGAAGAGATATTTGTAAAAAATAAAAATTAAAAAATCGTTATAGCTCATCGGATTCCTCCAGTAAAGAGATTCTGAAATATACTGCCCCTTCCTCGATGTCCGTGTCAGTAACCCCCCATTGAACGCATGCGGCAGCTATGCCGACGCGAAACAAAGTCGGAGCCTTTTTAAGCAACGAAAGTAGTAAATATCGTGCCGGAATGTGGGTTTTTTTTGTGTGTGTGTGTCAATTATACTCGGTGAACTCAGCCGGCACAGAGTAGGGGATTTTGGTTTGACGTTAGTAAGCTGATATGCTGGAGAGATATTATATATTTATTTTTTAACCGTGGTAAATAAACAGAAATACCCCCTGCCCCTAGCACTAAACGCGCGTCTTTAATTGTGGGAATTTACGCGGCAGGGCGGGCGGGCGGGCGGGCGGGGGCGAGGCGTGGCTTTGCCGTGCGGACGAAGAAGCTCTTTGCGCGCCGTGGAAAATCCCGCGCCGCAGCTTCAAAAGGGCTCCGCTGCTCGCCACCGACAGCCAAACGCCGCGACAAATCCACCCGAGCAACTGCCCAATGCCACACAATACATCTCGGTCACACATGACAGGGCTGGGACTCGAGTGCGCCCGTCGTCACGTTCCTCCGGCCACAACTCCGAGCGTCGCTGCATCGTTCTCGTAAATCAGCAAGGAAGGAAGGAAGCAAGCAAGGAGCTGATCCAGACCGGGAGCCATCTCGTCTCACGGCTCACTGTGATCCCACCCACCCCCCCTCTCCCCGAGACACTACCACCGTCCCATCCCCAACAAGGACTCGTCTCGTCGCGGGTCGTGACCCCCACCGCCACTCTCCCCACTCCAAGACGCCGAGATGACCTCGCGCTGCCCGGCTCACTTCTACTTTGACAAGCTGCTGCGCACGTGCCAGCACTGCCTGCTCATGTGCCACAAGACGCGACCCCCAGCCGAGTGCCGCGACACGTGCCGCGACCATGCCCGTGAGTCTCCACGCGCATCGATCACTTCGTCATCGGGCTGGAGCGGTGGCGCTCTGGTTAGGGCACCCGCGCTTTTTTGAAACCCAGCGAGACCGGAGTTCGATTCCACGGCCACGGCTAACGTCGGTGGCGAGTGATAGATCTCCATCGGTTCGGGGTCACCCGGGTCACGAGGGTAACCAGCGTGACCCCCCCCCCTTCCCTCCCTGATGTTCACCAACCAGCGTCGTGGTCAAAGAATACCCATGAGCGACGCGGCGTGGGGAGACTTTCATTCAGCAATGGATTTACAAGATTGTATATACAGTATAGATAATAATGTCACGACAGACCTTCGTTGTTAAATTGATGGTGGACCACTCAGTGTGCCGAGCAGTGTCACGCGGTGACGTGTACCACGTTCATCATTCCAGCCCCAGCGCTGTCGTCGCGACGTGCGGTGTGCGCGCGTGTGATGCAACACGCGTGGGTTTCGCCACCGATATTACGATTGGTAATTGGTTATTTTTGGTTTAGATCGCGTAATTACGAACCCAAATGGCACGGTACAACCCTCCTCCACCCCGATACAACCAGCTAAACAAATAAAGTTCGTCACATGAACAGCATTGATCGTTTTCAGCAAACCGGTGTGTTGAGAAAAAAAAACTTATCGTGAAATTTGACGATTTAGATGTTCATAGCAACATTTGACTCCAGTATTAAGATACCAATCGTCAGCTCAACCACCCCATTGTAACATGTTAGTTGTCGCGTTACATCAACATCAGCCATACAAAGAAGAACATTTTTGTCCACATGACAACTTAATTTGCTTGGCTGCGTCGGTTGGAGGAGGGTTGTATGACACCATGTCTTTCATACCTTTCGCAATTTAAGCAAATATCCGGCTTTGTAATGTGTGCGCGTGTGCGAAACTCGCACGTCCGTTCGTAATGATCTTATCAGTTATCCGTGACCAGGCGTGGGAGCTGGAAGGATGGATGGACATACCTGTGTGCGTGGCTTTAGGAGGATATCGTGCTGTGAATCAATTTACTGCGATATGATTTCGAAACGTGAATTTACAGGAACTCCTAGTGAACCCTTGTTAGTCATCCCTTACTTGCGTGGCTCATGCTGAGCCACGGGGATTTTTTGTAAAAAATAAAAAATACGGCACGACACATTGCTCGGCTATTATTGTACTTCCACATCTGAAGTATGTGCGCATTCGCAGTGTTTGTTGGAAGACATTATTAAAGCGTGGGAGTTGTGAACATTTAATCAACTGCTCATTGACTGGAGTTTCATGGCAATACAAAGAGTATAAGGAATTGTTTAAATATTGTTGGGTAAACCTCCCTGACCTCTATACTGTATATGCTGTGAAGACGGGACATTGCCCAAGTGGTCACCGACTATCTACTTTTCTTCTGAAGGCCACAGTGTTACTGACGAATGTGTTTAGGTTTATTTAAACATTGAGGGAGTGAGGTGGGCGCGGTGGCGCAGTGGTTAGCGCACTGCACTTCTGAACCCTGACTCGCTAAGTTTGATGGCATCAGTGGCAAATTGATATCTGAACTCCTCTTGGAGCCTCACTCTTCAACCCGCATTGGCCAGCGTGGTGGACTTCATTACACTCCCAACAACTATATTACCACGGGATCATGGGTAATGATGACTGCTAGAGGTGACCTTGAGATTGAATGAGAGGTCTGGACGTTCCATGAGGTTGTGTGCCGTCTGGAGACTCAAGGGGGAGACATAGAAAGAATAAATTAGCGGTTGTGCACAAGCACACTAAATAAAATACTCAACACATTCGTCAATAAACACTAGCCGTGAAATACACAATATACAATCGGCGATGTTTCAGGCAAATGGCCCTTATTCAGAGCAGAGGTTACAGATAATGACCTCTTCTGAATCGATTTATGCCCAAAACATGGCCCATTATAAAACAAAATCCTTTATAGGCCACCGAGTTATTGACGATATATGTTGAACTATTTGTTACTCTGGGCATATTATGATAATTCTACAGAGGTTTTTTTTAAATTGTCTGGGTGGTAGTCCCGTAGCTCCAGCAAGAGATTTGGGCGGGCGATAGGGCATGGGTTCACGGGAGACACCGGGACGGTGCAGGTGGACGAACGACATCATGGCTCGCTCGTACCTTGGCGACACACACGTCCACCTTACCGGTGCTGCTCCGGTTGAAATGGTGACGTGGTTTATATTGGTCTGACGTAGACTTGGGGATAAAGAGTGTGCCTTCAGCCATTGGTGTTGTTCGTTCAACGTGTGAGGTCTTGAGGGCAGATGCTCTATCAATGTACAGGAGACCTTAGCGTGTGCGGTGATGGTCAAACCATTTAACATCTTTGTCACTCAGTCGTTGAGGCACCTCTCCAAGAGCTCAAGAACATGGTCAAAGTGACAGGAGGGGGATGTGGGAAATAACTCTCATCATGTGAATCCTTGACTTTGTCACACTTGCAAAACAGGAACATGGGCCAACGTTCTTGCCTAGAGCTGGCACGATCAGTTAATTAGGCCAATTCATCAACAAACACTTGTAATCCAGCTACTCTTCTGTGGTCGATTATACTTGGGCCCCTTTCAAAAATGGTAGTCGCCTCCAAACATTACTGCGTCCCAAAGGCAGGAAACCCCCGACAAGCCACGCCCAGCTCGAGGCGGACGATAGTGATGATCTCCACTATGGGAACCTCATTTGCCAGTAAAAATATGATAATTGGTTTTTTACCCTTCTATCTGGCAACAAAACTGACGCCTTTTGGCGCCTTTTGGCGTCATCTGGTCCAACCCATGTGAGACTCGGCTCTAAGGAAAGCTGTCTCGGGTGTGGACCAATCAACTGCAAGGACAGTGCACATTATCAGAGTTATGTCTTTTGTTTGTATTATGACTGCAGGTATTGCGGTCTATGCAAACATGACTCCTTGTAAAAAGGTGTCAGTTTTGTTGCCAGATGGAAGGGTAAAACACCAATTATGATAGCGATGATGTCACGAGCCCCACCCGTTATCTCCCGTCCCGCAGCGCACGTAGGAACGGAGGTGACACTTATTTACAACATTGCCCATGCTATTCGATGTGTCTGGCAATCGGAACCGGTTGTCGGGTAAACGCTCTGCCCCAGCTCTATTCCTGTATGCCGCCGTTAAACGTTTTGTTTCCCCTCTCCGCAGCGACACCAGCCACAGTGATGGCCGAGTCTACGTCCAAAATTCAGGCTTCCGACCTGGAGCACATGCTGTACATCGTGTTGGCCATCAGCATCAGCCTTACCATATTCGTCGTCCTCATGTTCCTCATCTACCGGAGGGTCAGTAGGCGGGAGAGCCTCAGTCAACCTCCACTTGGCGTTGAAATGCAATGCATGAAAAGTGCAGGTAATGCTCTGCTTCAATCGCGTTTGAATCGAGAAGAGGTTGCGATGCCCTGGCTCTAAAACCGGGCAGATGCATCACACTCATTGACGTCCAGTGTGCTCATCATAGCAGCCCACGCTGACTCTTCACCGATCGGTTTCTCCATGGCTCTCTGTGATTAAAGATAATTACGTAAAAATGCTAATCAGAAAAAATGCATTCGTATCTTATTTATCTTTTGCACAACCTCTCATCTGAACAAATGCATGCACGCGTTATAAGCGACTCTTCCTTGAGCCGACTATTTACAAACGGGCAACATTGAGGAGCTGTTATATCAAAACGTGCTCTTCTCTTTGCGCTGAAAATTGTAAACATCTGTTACAACTTATTTTTATTGCGTGTTTTCACTGCAAAATTTTAATGTTGCTTACAGTTGTAATCTCTTTCGGTATGTTAAAATATGTATACACACCTTCTTGGTTCTTTCGGTAAAGTCACGTAGAAGGGAAATAATAAAATAATAAAAATAAAACATAATAAAATAATTCTCACGACGTTTCGGCCACAATGCAAGCAGCCATCCTCAGGTGAAAACGCTGTCTTTCCGACAGACCTGTTCTTCACCTGAGGACGGCTGCTTGCGTTGTTATTTTATTACTTCCCTTCTACGTGACTTTACTGAAAGAACCAAGAAGATGAATCCCTGCAGTCGCGAAAGCTTTACATCGAAATGTATACACACGTAACAATGAATTGACTTTCTGTTTTGTTTCAGTGGTGCATTTCAATCCAACAAGCAAGAGCACGTTCGGAGCGGGATACAGTCACGTCACGACCACCACCACCGAGCCCGTCAGTGAAACGGGGCATCCGGACACTTCGCAAATGGTCACAAACTACACTTGATTCCCTATGGTGGTATACGTTACTCACCAAGAATATTTCACAGTGAAATTAGCCGATTGAAGAGAGCCTCATTCAAGAGGTAGCACATTATTATTATTACTATGAGCTTTTTATTTTTTGCTGATGCGAATTTCCCATCTACGCGAATTCGCTTTTGATTCTGCCGGTCCGCACTGACCGGGGATCTCTCCTCCGCTATCGAGTGACCTTGTTTCGTCCGGGTTCGAGCAAACGACTGTGCCTTCGAATGGCCCGCCCCTATTTCAGAATAAAGCCTCAGGTTGCCTGAGTGCGGGAGTTGTAGCCTTGAACGAGAACGTCGCTTGCACCTGGCCGATGTTATTGTTGCACTTCACACGAACAAAGCTTCCCCTGTGAACCTGGGGACGCTGGAAAAGAACAAAACTGTGACAATTTCGAAATGCACAAAAAAATACAAACCAGGGGGATTTAACCAGAAGTAGAAAAGGTGATTTAAAAAAAATTCCAAAGAACAATTCGCCAGACCCATCGCGCGAAACATTTCAAGCTTGTCAACGGGTCACACTTAACAGGGAGAACGAGGGCCAGCCTTCACCCTACCGTGGGGTGAGCAACGATGAATCCGTAAACTTACATTCTGATCATATTTTCTCCGAGTATGATACAACTTTTCACAAAGATGGGCAATGGGTCCTCGCCTGCTTTGAAATGACAGCAGCCAAGAATAATTGTGCCAGGGGAATGGAACGGAGACCTGCAGCACGAAGTGACAAGATACATGGCATCAGGATCCCTAAGCTTGACGTCGCCGAGTTGTCAGGTTGCAACTGAAAATGTGGACTTCCATACGCAGGGCTTCATGCAAGATATCTCACGTATTTTATTTTTGAATAAGTATTTCTGATATAACATATTGCACAGTGTATTGTTTATTTTATCATCATCATCCGCCATAATCGTAGCACACCGCTGGATGAAAGCCTCCACGAGCCATCGCCATCTCTCACGGATCCTGCGATAAAACTATCCACCGAGGGAGCACCTGCACACGAGCCGATGTCCTCGCTCTGTCTCCTGAACCAGGCCCACGACAGGTTCAGCAGACGTCACTCGCCACTGATATTAGCCGTGAGCTGGGAATCAAACCCATATGCATCATCAGGCTCATACGCACAGTGCACTAACCACTGTGCCACGGCTCTCCTGCCTTTAATGTGATTTTTATTTTATTTTATAATAATACTTTGAAAGACATATGTACATTGCTGTGGTTTGTGGGTACTGCACATACTCGGAGGTGCAACGCTGGTGTCAGCGATACGCTATCAATCCTTCGTTAAAGTCACTGACGCAAGTGACACTATTACACTCTTGGTACGTACACATTCATAACCCTGTGTGCACACTTGGCCCGACGTTTTGTTCGATGAGGCTGAGAGTTTCCCGTTAAACAAAACAAAACAATGCGTACGAAAGTTCAATTGCACTCGTTTTAGAAGTAGCGACAACTTCCATACTTTTACCGTGCAATCGTTATCGGTGTAAAGACGATGCCTACCACCTCCGATGCGCTCTGTGGGACTGGCACTTCCACAGCACCAGCTCAGAGGTTATCGTAGCCAATGGGTGCCATCTAACTGCAGTTTGGCTGTGTGCACTAAACGTAGCGCGGACTTGCTACGCTATTTTATTTTTAAACTATATATTGTACATATATTCTTTAACTTGATAATGTACAGTTTTCTCGTGTTTACTTCTCAAGGTGAATAAATTTATTTTTTTCTATTTGGTGCATTGAAATTGTTCTCGTCTATCTACAAATTATGAAAGAACTATAAAGAGACACTGGCAGTGGCTAGGACACGCGCCAGACACATGATCATTAACGGTGAACAGAGAAGTGAAAGGAGCGCAAAGTAGCATGGAGATATGCATGCTTGGAACTGCGTTGAGAGAGAGAGAAAGAGGAACACATGAATGAGAGAACATACACAGGTGAGGGATATCATTTCAGTTATGAAGAGAAAAGCTGCACACGCCACGGCCAGGAAGGACGATGATCAATAATTATAAACGCAGCAGCTGCCAATGAGTTATACGCGCCTGAGAGAACGTACACCGTGTGGAGATGGGAGCGATGAGATTAGTTCACGTGCAGTTGCTGGGAAAACCTTGAGCATTGCAGAATCGTGAGACGTGGCGGAGGCATTGGGAGGCCGTCGTCAGCGGTGCATTGATCACGGCTGATGACGCTGCTGCTGCTGCTGACTTTGACAGCATTTTGAACTGCGTGGTTGAAACGCTGGCAGCATATTCCAAACATCCAGAGGATTTTTCGAACCAAAAAAAGCTGAAGAGGTCTCATTCGATAGCGCACAAACAAAAAGTTGCTTTCGAAACAATTGCAGCCGAGATGTTGCTGGGGATCGCCTGGGGCTCTTTTTAAATACTTTATATTAAGTTCGCTTCGCTTGCTTGCTTAGGACCGTGCAAATCTTTCGGTCGTTTTTTAACCAACTTCCCGTGATCCAATCGAGCTGATATTTTGCACACAGACTCGTTGTGCGTGACAATGAATTTTCGTGAAATTTCTTTTCCAAAATTTTACACTGTTTAGGGAATTTTTTAAAAATATTTATTTACCAATTGGTTAATGCTGGCACACAATCATCTGACCCATAGGTGGCAGCCATCTCAAGCCAGAGGACGAGAGGACTCTCGCCGCCCTGATGCCACGCATATAAAGGATTTATAGTGAAAAACTTTGTTATTACGGGTTAATTTTTTGCTTCTGACCTCGAGACCTCGCCAAGGTCACAGCGGCGGCCACGTGCAGGGTTATGAGAGGGACAAGAGACTCTTCCGATACATACAAATCTTCACGCCACCGAGTGTGATTGCGTGTAGAGTAGCGTATTTTTATCAACCAACGTCACACTGCTGTCCTATCTTCTTCTTTCGCACAGCTGATGTCGATGCAGAGCAACCACTACGATTTCACATTCAGGTGGTCAAGCCAGATAACCGTAGACATTTTGACTTTAAACCTTCGTGATTGCGGGTATTCACATTTTTTGGTTATTTCGGTAAAGTCACCGTGTCAGGAGCAGCGGATTGTATCGCTGTTCTATTACAACTATTCAAATCATTGATGACACCCTGGTAAATTCAATGTAGAGGGTGGCCCAAAAGTCAGGGCACATGGGGTTACTATATTTATTTTGACTTAAAGCTTTCGTGACTGCCGGAATTCAGATTATTTGCGTCTTTCGGTAAAGTCACGTAGATAGGTTCAAAGAAAATAACAAAAAATAACAAAAAAACTACGACGTCTCGATCGCAGCACAAGCGTTCGTCATCAGGAAGATGGGGTTAGCTTCTAAAGGCCAACTGTTTATAAAGGTTTGAAATGGGCGTAGCCCAAATGTCAGCAGCCAATGTGAATGTAAGTGGTGGGCAGCAACCACGACGTTGGTTGGTTTTCCACCAATCAAAGGGCTGCCAGGTGAAAATTTGCATGTTAACGTAAGATCGGTGAGCGGCCTCCATGGCGCGCGCCTTGAGGTGGCCATGTTAATGTGAGAGATTAGCATGTTAATGTGAGAGATTAGCATGTTAATGTGAGAGATTAGCATGCTGATGTAAGAGATTAGCATGTTAATGTGAGAGATTAGCATGTTAATGTGAGATATTAGCATGTTAATGTGAGAGATTAGCGTGTTAATGTGAGAGATTAGCATGCTAATGTGAGAGATTAGCATGTTAATGTGAGAGATTAGCATGCTGATGTAAGATCGCAAAGCAAAAACCTCGAGCTCGGTGAGCGAGGTGGCTGTGTTAGGGTGAGAAATTTAACTTGTTAATGTAAAATCAGAGAGCCGAAAATAACAACTAACATTGGAAGGTGGTAGGATGGGAACATCACAGCCAGTTATGACTTAAACTGGTTGATAATGTCCTTCCAATAATTGCTCAACAATTAATTGTGTCTGTGTCTATATATATGGATGGTTTCATGAACAAATCTTTGTTGATAGCCAGTGGGTTTGCAAAGTACCTTTGTCTTAGAGAAATCAATTTCGTGTGAGCCCACCGCATAAAACAATGATCAGCCACGGCCGAGGTGTTGGTCCTACCGTGTTTCAGATCTGCCTTATGTTCACGGACACGGTCCGAGACATGTCGCTTAGTTTCCCCACTGTAACTACTGCCGCAGACACAGCTTAGTTTGTAGACGCCGGGGTATTGCATGCCAGGGATCACATCCTTCACAGATGGGATCAGATCAATAATTTTATGTACTGTGATAAAATCGAACCTGGATCTTGTGTTTGCTCATGATTTTGGAAATATTTTAGTGACACCTGCTATGTAATGGCAAGGTGATGGTTTTGATTGGGTCCTCAGATGTTTTTTTTCCCAACGGTTGGGGTGATAGCTTTACGGATTGTGTAGTCTGAATATCCATTCATCTTGATGGCTTGGTCTACGTATTCTAGTTCACTGGCTAGGTGATGATGGTCTGAAATACATCGAGCTTTATGGTGTAGAATTTTGATGAGGGAATTCTTCTTGGATGGATGGTGGTGGGAGTCAGGTTTAGGTAGGCATCCGTATGGGTGGCTTTCCTGTAGACAGAGTGTCCCATTGAGTCATCTGATCTCCTTTCGATGAAAACATCCAAAAATGGTAGCTTGCCATCCTTATACACCTCCATAGTGAATTTGATGGCTGGGTGTATGGAGTTGATGTGGTTGAGGAATTGGTTCAGAGCTGGTCGGCCATGTGGCCAGATGACAAACGTGTCATCTACGTACCTCTTCCACAAAGACGGACGTAGAGTGGATGCCTGGATGGCATCTGTCTTAAAATTTTCCATGAAAATATTGGCTACAACCGGAGATAAGGGAGAACCCATTGTGGTGCCTTCAACTTGTTTGTAGAATATTCCATTCCAGGTGAAGTATGTGTTGGTGAGGCAGTGTCTCACCAGGGCCGGTACATCAGCATTCAGTCGTTGTAGGACCAAATCTTCAATGATTGCAATGGTGTCAGGCACAGCAACTTTGGTAAACAAAGAGACTACATCTAAACTAACGAGCAAATCACCTGGAGATAGTGAGATGTCCTTAAACACGTTCCTTCGGAGTGGGCAGGTAGGAACTTGGTTGGACAGCGCATTCGTGCACAACAGACAGACAAATAATCCCTGGTGGGCAGTGTGGAACCTGTTGTTCTACCTGTATGTATAAAAGATAACTTGACTTTAGGTAGCCAGGCAGACAGACCCCTTAACTATCGCCCCCCCTCCCTTAGGCCCCTCCCCCCTTAGGCCCCTCCCCTGACCCCCTTTCCCTTAGGCCCCTCCCCTGACCACCCCCCCCCCCCATATCCTCAGGCCCCTCCCCTGACCCCCCTTCCCTTAGGCCCCTCCCCTGACCCCCCTTCTGTTAGGGCCCTCCCCTGACCACCCCCACCCATATCCTTAGGCCTCTCCCCTGACCCCCCCTCCCTCAGGCCCCTCCGCTGACCCCCCCCCCCTCAGGCCCCTCCCCTGAACCCCCCCCCCCTCAGGCCCCTCTCCTGACTCCCCCCTTCCTTAGGCCCCTCCCCTGACCCTCCTCCCTTAGGCACCTCCCCTCTCCGTACCCGGCAGTAGGTCTCCACCAATCAAAGAGCTGCTAATATTATATATTTATTTATGCACGACAGACAGTCAGACAGACAGACAGACAAAAAATCCCTGGTGGGCAGTGTGGAACATTGTTCCTACCTGTATTAACGATACCAAGTGAGCCGAGTTAAGTACAGCTGAGGCGGTCTTACCAGTGAATGATTGTAAGGTCTCAGACAGAAATCGGGCTAGTTTGTAGGTGGGTGAGTCAATGGTGGAGACGATAGGACGAAGGGGTGTACCTTCTTTATGGGTATTTGGTAAGCCATACAATCTGGGTGGTCTCGCAGCAGAGGGTTTTAAGAAAACCCGCTTGGTTGGTTCGATTAAAAATGTCGAATTGGTGATGATCTTATTGGCTTTCGTAACGAGGCTGTTGGTGGGATCTCTTTGAATGTTTGTATAGCTACCATCATTAAGTAGGTCCTGAAGTTTGTTATTGTATGTGGTTTTGTCCATGATGACTGTGGCATTGCCCTTGTTGGCTGAGAGGAGGACTATGTCATCTCTCTTTTTTAATTGAGAGAGCTCAAAGCGCTAATCCTCACTGATGTTGCTAATATGTGTCTTAGCGTTTTTGAGGATTGCAGCCATTTCTGACACGTCTGCAGTGATGTGTCCCAAACCCTTAAGGGCTACGTCAACCTGGGCAATTATATCATCAACTGGGATGTGTTTAGGGGTGACGATCTACGTGACTTTACCGAAATACCCACAGCATATATATTTATTTGATTAACTCACATAGGGTTATATAATTTATTTGAATACGTTCAAACCGACTACCATTATCAACGCATGCTTTAATTCTCTTTTTAAATGAACGTCTGGACTTTTATTCAGATTACAGTTGTAACCTTCGAAAATTCATCAATCATTTAATCTCAATTCATTCAGGGTGCTTGGGTCGAGATTTGTAAGCTGCATCTAAAAAGGAAGAGTAAAAAGAGATACGGATGAATGACAAGAGATAAAATACACAGTTCAAAGGTTTTCAAGCCATCGTTAAAACAAATACAACAACCTTATGGGCGTGACTTTTAGGCCACACTGTATATCAAAGCGAAACTTTTTTTTAAATCTCCTCCTTCTTCTTTAAATGAACGTTCAC